ATTTGTTGAGTCAATAGAAGTAGATTATAGAATCAATTGAATGTTCATCCGCAACATGTTATTGCAATTCACTCGATAGTATAAAATACTCGGCTAATATCATTGTTCACCATCGAGTTTTATAAAAAAGTGTACCTTCCAAACAAATTGGCACAAAATCGTTGAAGTAATTTTCAAAAACATTTAAAAGCACCTCTCCAGAGTCCATCAACATACTACCGGATATTGCAGAATGTTCCAAGCGAATTGATTTAAATCAAACATTTTTGGGCCAAAAAAACACTTTATCTTAATTTATGAGAATTTACCCTCCATATCGTCGGATATGTGTCTTCAATGGTATAACACTGAAGTCATTGCTAGTTTTATCGAGATTATAAAGCAATCTACAAGTCTAAATCACATGGTCTACAGAACCCTCATAAAACCAATATTGTTACTTAGGCGTGCTCACTTCACCAACAGCAGCTCCTTCATTGTATATGATCTGTCCATGAAACAAGTAACTTATGGGATTCTAGGATCAACTTCGACCTATTATTATTCTTCGTATTTTTAATGAAAAGTACCAACACGTCAATTGCAAGAAAAGGGTGGGTCTCGTCTCAATGGATTGACTGACTTCGGCGTCTTCAATTAAAACCCTAGCAGCTTTCCACAAACTTCAAGAACCTTGTTCCGTCTATGTTTCTGAGCTGTCGCATTGAGGATGTTTTCCAACATACCCACAAACGACTCTTCTTCTTATTCTTCTTCTTCTTCTTCGGCTTATTCTTCTTCTGCTTATTCTTATTATTTATTCTTGTTCTTGTCGGATAGTCTCAGTTCAATTCAGGCTCTTCGGTCATTGAAACCTGGTAGGGACTCATCTTATATCCTTTTAAAATAAAAAAGCAGACTAGGATACTTTTTCACATTTTATTCCACTTATCATGACAAATAAGCGCTGGCTGCCTTAATGCAAGGATTAAGGGTGCAAGAGTTAAACACATGTTGAACTCACTTCGATCGATAGGTTCAATCCATTTATGTTCAGATACTTACCTTCACTGTTTTTGACACACGTTCTTCACTTAACCGACTCGAAAATGTTCAAACCCACCGAAAACAAAGCGACAAATGTTTTGGGAGAATTCTTTACAGATTACGCTCGTGGAAATTAATAAAAGAACACTTTAAAATGCATGGCTTCTTCCAATTTTAAGAATCGTAGGTAATCAAATGGCATACTTAAAAAATACAATGGTTGATTTTCGCAACAGATGTCGTTAGTAAAAACAAAACATTACTTCAATTTATGTTTAAATGTTGATTTTCACAAAATAACAACAATTTTCGAAAAAAATATTTGTGACACTTAATACACTTAATAATTTTTACCGAGCTGGCGTCCAACAATTTTTTTCTCGATATTTTTGCAATATGCATTATGTTTTGAATTATTTTTTTCCATGTCATGCTGTCAGTAGTTGTTAGATAAAAACTTACAGTTTATGGTAATCAATTTTAGGTGACATTCCATATTTTTTAAAAATTCGTCAGAAGGCGACTTGAGTGTGGAAAAACGATAAAACCTGTTTCCGCACATCAAAGGTACGTGAACAAATCGCTGATCATCTCGTTTGCCAGTGGTGGCGGGGAGAGATACTCCCTTCCCAACAGGGGAGTTTGGTAAAGGAGATGATCAACCCGATTCGTGCCTTCCTCAAAATTGACCTTTGCTCGTTTTCTGCTCTCTATATACAATTTACACACTGCCGTACTCTAACGGAAATATCAACTCTATACTTTGATCTCCTCATCTATCGTATTTACCACTTTAAGTCTGATATTTGACGTTAAGCATTTAAACATATTTGACCATAGCATGCTAAAATTACTTATGGTATCATAATCCAAACATTTAAGAATATTTTAGCATATGAAAGTACTCAATCTAAATAGGTTTATTTTACACGGTATATATCCCTTGAAAAAGACCTGAGTGACTTGGTAGTAATGTATTTGAGAATGCATGGAGTTTTTTTAATTTTTGCTCGGCAAGTCGAAAACCACGGCACTTAACCCTATCATTTATGAACTTTCACTTATTTATGTACGGAAAATCATTCTCAACTCTCATGTATTGAGTCTCCCTGAAGCTGGGTTTAGACAGGGCAAGTCAATTGATCAAGTCAGTTGAATTCAACTGACTTGAACGCGAATTGAACGTGTAAACCATGCCATTCAACTGACTTGATCAACTCACTTGAATTGAAAAAAGTTGAACCAAGCTCAAATTTTCATGCCAATTGAATTCAACTGAGTTGATCATTTGACTTGCCTAGTCTAAACCCAGCATGAGAGAATAAACCCGCGTGCGAAACTGGCAAACAAATCTAACGCTTGATATTCTCATGTATTTGCACGCACTCACACAAGCAGGGCATCACAAGATCAGCTTCAATCAACAAAATCGATGCGATGAAGAGATTGCTAGCTTTCTTTTTATGTTGAAGTTGAGTAGCTTTGTAGCATTCTAGCACCTCAGTCGCCGTCTACAAACAAGTTTCCAATCGTTTGTCTCTCTTTCTCCCGTCGCTTCATTCGTCTTTCTTTCAAGCTTCGGTGAAGCGGACGAGTGAAAGCGCAGCGCTCGACTTTGATAGTTTCGTCTTTCATGAAACATATCAACCGAGGTTTCATGACGTAGGGTATATGTCCCTAACCTCGGTCTAATATGAAGCCTTCAATTACAGCTTATGCCGCATCTTATTTAACAATTGAGCTGCAGTGGATATTGCACTGTCAACATGCAAGTTTAGATATTCTTATTATTTGGATATTAATTAAGCACGACTGGAAATTGTAAAACTCATTTAACATTAAATCTTTCAGGTACGTGGATATAATGTCAGTTTACTGTTCTCAAATTGCATCTACAAATGGATGCTATTTCGTCCTATCGAAGATGTACCTTGATATACAAAGGTTCGGCATGTGAAATCGGGCTTCTTTTCACTCCTTATGCTTCATACGTAACCACATTTTTGACGTCATTTTCACTTCTCACGTAAGAACTGATGAGGAAGAAAGAGACTTTCAGGTTGATCCAGATAACATAAACCACGATGCTTTTAGAATCAAACTAACAATCAATCACGACCACACATATAACGAACTGTCAAGCAAAGTGATAGCAAGCCGAACAATGCATTAGCTCTTAAGCAACTTTGATAGATTCTCCTCAAAGATTTACTCTTTACATTCCCACGGTATATTGTTGACAATGCTTGACAACCGCTGAGGGGGTTGCCATTTGTTAGAAAAAAAAAAACTAAAACTAGTTGCTCTGGAAATGGTTAATAGAATAACAGCAGGTCAAGGAATCCAAACACAGAAAGCAATCAATAACAAAGACACAATGCTTGTGACAAATACCACGATGGATGATGGTCGGGACGATTGAAGGAAAACGATATATTGTTTGCAAGACTTAGTTGCTACACAAACACGGTTGAAGACATAGCTTGATCGGAACGGTGAATGACATAACAAAAAAAAACTTTATTTAAGTGTATCGTCTCGCCGTTTTTACGAAATAAGAATCTTTTTCGAGGAGAAAAAAACATTTGGTACAAGTGATAGCATTTTTTGTTACGGATACCAAATACTATTTCATGTTTTTTTTTATCGTAATTTATGGAAAAATGGGCAAAATTCCATGCATATTTTTTTGAATAACTCAGCAGTTGTGAGATCAAAACTGGCAGCTTACGTTAATCCATTGAATGCGATACTTTGGCGTGATGTTATGCTTATTCTTTGTTCAGACTACAAAGTTATAATCTGTTACAAGGGTGTTATAATAATTATCAAAAAGAAAAACCTCATCAAGATACCACCTATATCGGTCAACTCAAAAAGTTTTGGAGTGACAAGTTAACAAATGGACAACAGCGACCTGAATCCGATCGATGTTGTTCATTTATCCACTTGTCAATCACAACTTGGTTTACTCAGTTTTGAATAGCTTTACTTTTTGGACGACATGGGTGGATCTTACTCAAATTTGGCTAGTTCTTAAATAGAGTGTAAAGCACACATTTACCGAATGGGATTCGCCGGTTGCCAGATTTGTTCGGAAACTTTCTCAAAAAAACACTTTCGCGTTTCATGCTTGCTTCTCAGCTTCTTCTCCTCTAAAAATACAATACAACCGTAATGAAAATTAAAATCCAAAACCATAGCTACACTGCGGCAAAAGAACATACACTGAGGCAAAATAAGGCTTGGCTTATGAATTTACACACTTATGAATTCCATAAACACAACTTAAAAATGATCATCGTAGTACTTTAGCTGATTCTTATACGCCTTTAGCCTATCCGATTTCCCAGGTGTTGATAGACGTGTGCACAACTCACGGGCTCAATAATCTGTTTTATTAGCTGACTTACGATTTTTACTGTTTTGGCTTATGAATTATTTTTCAAAGGTCAAGCTTATGATTACCATAATATATCCTTGTGGCGAAATATCATAAGTGGTTCTTATGGAATTCTTATGCTTATTTGCCTCAGTGTATGGATGCCATAAGACCACTCGTCTGCCCACGTTTGGGTAAATGCAATGGCTAAAGGCATATAAGAGCTATGCCATCCCTCTCCAAAAGGGGAGTTTGGTAAAAAGATATGATAAAACCGATCTGTACCTTCCTAAAGTTGCCCTAGCTCGCTTTCTACTCTCTATATGCAATTTTCACACTGCCGTACTCTAAACGGAACTATCAATTCTATACTTTCATCTCCTCATCTATCGTATAAAAATTACCACTTAAGTCTGTTATTTGAAATTAGCATCTTCAACTATGTAATTCGTTGACTTCACGCAGAAGTAATACTAAAAATATAGTCAAATGATAATTGTTAAGCATAAACAAAACTTTAAAACGTAACCGGTCATTAGTCTACGGTGAGTAATTAGGGTTAGTGAAAACAACAGGTTATATAGCAACTTACAGCTTGATAGGCTCCCATCGGTGGATACGCTGCCTGCCCCGCACCAGGTGGATAGGGTGCCTGTTCGGCACCGGATGGATAGGGTGCCTGTCCGGGACCGGGTGGATAGGGTGCCTGTCCGGGACCGGGTGGATATCCCATGCCACCGTCATGTGGCCCTGCAGGTGGATATGATGGAGGGTATCCACCGCCAGATTTGTCTTCCATCGGTGGATATGGAGCGTACGGAGCATATCCTCCTCCAGGTGCGGATGGAGCACTCATATTTACCTTGCTCGATTTTGTCTAGCTTTGATCACTTAAAGTAAGTGGTCGATGAATTGCTACAATTCCAACTGGTTTGAACGGCCAAGCTGCACTGGCATACAGATGGGTTGCTGTAAATTACAAAGATAAGGCAACGGCTGATTAAAATTTGGGAATTTTCGTATCTCTACGATTGGGTTTATTGCGAAAGGTGGTATACAAGACACAAATCAGCAGTTACATTTCAAATAGACGTAACTGCTTTTGCAAACAATAACTTTGCTCGTCAATTTGACGTAACTGTAAGCTTAATAAAAAAACACCAACTGATAGGCTAAAATATAATTTGACGTCATTGTTAACAAATGCAGTTAAGTCTATTTAAAATATGACTGCTGAATAATTTTGCAATACAAACAATATAATTGATAAGTTGAGTTATTTAGTCACACATTTCATCATATGGCATTTGATAAAATAAAATAGCGAAAATGTTTCCTGATGATAACAAAACACTGAAACAATCACACTTTAGTAATAGTATTCCATATATAAAAAAAAATTATGGGTTGTGTCCTAGACATGACCGCAGTATGACGTAGAATCTATCTATCTATCTCTATCTATGATGCTTGATATATGCATTTAGGTTAACATCCGACATCTCTCCTTTTTTTTACATATTTTGCAGGAAAAATACATCCGAAGTCCCTCCTTTTTTACATATTCTGCACAAAACATACTTTCTAAGCCCCACAACTGACAGGATTTCCCGCCATTTTATTATGAATGGGGCGGGGCAGAACGTTTCTTTTGTGCAGAATATGGGGAAAAGGATGGACTTTGGATGTTAATATAATTTCATATATAGAGGTACCAGATATGTTTTACAGTCAGTTGTGTGTAATTCACCAACTGAATATCATCGAACATGTCTTTCAAGTAATTTTTTGTTCAAATTTGAAAGTTTTGGTGTGGGAAGAAATTTATGGAAAAACTTCTGTTTTTACTAATAATTGTGGTTTGTTTAAAATGTATTTCCCGGAAAAAAGTGATCGTCAAAGTCCATGCATTTTTCAGATTATTTTTGAGGGGGGAGGGAGGTTGTTGTGAGGGGGGGGGGGGGTTACATACATTGCTTTTTCTCATTGTGGTCACGCCGTGATCCAGCTTTAGCCGCGGATTTGGTCCAAGTGCCACGCCGTCCGAAGCGGCAATGAGCAAAAGCACGACCGCAGCGCTGTTTTATATCTTTTCAGGTTCAAGCAGAACGATGTGCAACTAGGGTTACCATATGGTATCCTAAAGGAGAACATGTCCTCCTTTTTCGAATGTTTTTACATGTCCTCCTTTTGCCTCAAAATATCCTCCTTTTTAATCCATGAATATTTTCAAGCAAAATGTTAATAAATAAATTTTCCATTTTATTTTGACTCAACCTCATCCAAGGCTTTGAAGTTTTAAAACTGACGTTTTCGTGCAATACAGTTCACTGGTTCATTTTCAAGTATGTACAGAACCGGTCATATTATAAAGGGTCTAGTATAAGAGAGGAGCGGACTGGCTGGTTTTGAGCCAAAAGGAACTGTCAAAGCCAGAGCCAATCGAACAGCGACTATCGTGATCTAAGAGAAGAGTAGACAATACGGGGACGAAAACGAACCACTTTTCTGTCAAACGCGAACCAGCTCGTGATTGGCCGATTTGAAGTCCGTAAGAGAGAGATAGAGATAGAGATAAAAAAGTAAGAAGCCAGTTGTCTCCTCTTCCTCTTAGATCTGGATTGCATGCCAGGCAGAGGTTGCCAAGGCAGTTTGTTTTGAATCTACTCCTCTCTTAAGTCATATTAAAGGGCTAATTGTAAAGTGTTTGGCGCTCCAAAAAAAATTTTTTTTTTTTTTTCTTTATTTTTGTGATTTTTAGCCGTAGGCTAGTTCATCACATAAGCATAAAAATGTTCAAAGAGCTGTATTTTTTTAGTATGTGCATTTAAGGTGATACTCTAAGGAATCCTTAGCGTGAAACATTAAAGGCACAAATGTCAGCTTCCACAAAACATACAAATTTGAAATTGCTACTCCTTGTTTGCTGTGCTACTACAAACAGAGAGTAGCAATTTCAAATTTGTATGTTTTGTGGAAGCTGACATTTGTGCCTTTAAAGTTTCACGCTAAGGCTTCCTTAGAGTATTACATTAAATTGCTGAAATTTGGGCTGCTGGTTGATTAAATATTCAAAATTTACCGGTATTTTTAGGGCGATGATAAGTTGACTCTGCATGAAGGATGAATTATTTCGGTAAAGTGGTAGAACGCTTTTTGTTTGAAAACCGTTTTTAAAATTGTAATTTCTTGAAGCACAATCAATCAAATCAATCATACTTTTTTTTATTTATAGTCTCGTCTTCTCTGATCTCAAAATACTCATAGTGTAGTGTATTTTAAGCAATTTTGAAAGATGAAAGTCACCATCATGGATTTAGAAATGATACTATTCGTTGACCATAAATTCTGATGTTTTCGAATAAAATAATGTTTCGACTAGAAAAAAATAGTAGTAGTTTATTCTGCTTGACGAGCGAAAAATGGTAGCCAAATAAGATACGTTTTACTAAAATCATTGGAAGCTTAAGCTGATTCAACTGTTTAAGCTCACAATAATTCCGTTATTTTTATATTATTTAACCAACCTGCAGTAAGTATTTCAGAATTTTCAATACTCATATTAAAAAGTTGCAGTCTATTAAACTTGTTTAGAAGGACAAAAAATCCAGTATTAGTACCCTAATTTTACCGGTACTGTATAATTAATTTTGAAGGCTAGGTAGTTGCATACTTTAGAAAGGATTATTGCTTTTTAATATTACGTAACCCAATAGACAAACTGCCAATTACCAAAAGGGAAAGTCATTAATTTTCAAATATTCTAAATCAGTTTTTTCGTTCAAAACCAAAATAACGTAAACGAAAATTTGTTCATTGGATTCTACTTGGCTACTGGAACACAGTGAACACTTTATCATTGACAGAATTTCGGTTTTATTCGAAAAAACTGCTTTTGAATTTCCAAAAATTAATGACGTCCCCTTTTCCCTTAAAAGAATGATGATTTTTACCGAATTGATGACGACTACACTACACTACACTGAAAATAATAAATTTTGAGTAAGTGCATATGTTTTCAAAAAGTTTGATAAAAACTCGTTGTATCCCTAGTAGCACGCTTGGACGCTTGTCACAAATCAGTTGTGGCAACTTCTATACAACTAATATCAGTCATAAACAAGTTGCTGCAACTTATTGTGACGGAAATGTGTTACTCGGGCCTCCTCTATTGATGATAAAGAATATCTACATACATTGTCCTCCTTTTCCTCTAAAATTGAAATGAAATGTCCTCCTTTTCAATTTTTGTTTTAAATGGTAACCCTATGTGCAACCGAACCTGATAGGATTTCCCGCCGTTTTTTTTTATGAATGGGGCGGAGCAAAAAGTTTCTATTGTGCAGAATATGGGGAAAAGGATGCACTTTGGATATTAATATAATTGCATATATAGAGGTACCAGATATGTTTTACAGTCAGTTCTTGGTAATTCATCGAGTGTATGTCTTCTGATAAGCAATTTTTTTTTAAATGTTGGCCCTGCAAAATTAATTGTCTATACCTACATAATTGTGGTTTGCTTTAAATTTATTTCCCGAAAAAAAATGATGGTCAAAGTCCATGTCTTTTCCGGGTTATTGTTAAGGAGAGGGGGAGAGGTTGTTAAGGGGGAGGGGGTTTTACATGCACGTCTTTTCAAGTCTCATTCCTCATTGTGGTGGACAAGCCGTGATCCACCTTTAGCCGCTAACTTAGTCCTGCTTGATGCAGGACCTAGTGCCACGCCGTCCGAAGCGGTAATGAGCAGAGGTATGAGAGCAGCGCTGATTTATATCTTTTCAGGTTCAAGCAGAATGATGTGCAACCAAGTGGTATTCGTTTATGATGACTGGGTTTGGGAAAAAGGCTTATTTCATGAAAACAGTGATAACATTATCATTTGTACATTTTCAAAAGTTTAATTACAGAATAAATTGGAAAAAATATTTATTTCAGCAGGTGCGTAATGTAATATCCTATCGATTGGCGTATTTGGATTTTAATTTCATTTATAAATGACAAAGTTACAAGCGTTCCAAACCTAACACTCCTTCACCACACATATTTTTTGATTTGCACCCCAGTATAGTCGACAAAGACGTAGTTCTACGTCAAAAAGTAAAATGTTCCCTAAAAAATACTGAAATGTTCCATATGAAATGTAAACTTCAGTTTTTTACTGAACATTTCATCTTTTATAACCTTCTATTGGATGCTTGCCCTTCGCTCTGCTCCTCTAGCTAAACACCACGGGCTGGTAAGTTAATCTACGCATCAAGAAAGAATATTAAATGTTCCCTTAAACATATGAAATGTACCAAAAAATGTTAAATATTCCAATAAAAATTATAAAATGTTCCATAAAAATCACTGAAGTTTCTGGACCATTTCATATTTTTTTATGGAACACTTCATATTTTTTTTTATTTATTTATTTATTTAATATAATAATGATAACATAATTCAGTGCCAACATTTCAAAGGGGCGTAATTGCTTTTGTAAGCAATGGCTTTAGCCATCGATTTCTCGCAAATAAAAGCTCACGCCTCTAAATTAACAATGCTAGCTGGTAGAAGAAACATTCCTTTACCTGTTGGTGTAATTAATTTTCATGAGTGAGCTTTTATTTGCGAGAAATCGACGGCTAAAGCCATTGTTTACAAATGCAATTACGCCCCTTTGAAATGTTGGCACTGAATTAACTTAATTTAAATACAGAAAACAGAACCAGTCAGGAAGTTAAAAGTACATTATAAAACAGATTCTTAAGCCTAACACGGGAGATATTAAAATCAATGCAGTTATAACATTTGTTGAAAATCTTGCACATGCTAGTTAACGGCTCATTACGCCGTAGTTTGTGCGAGAAGCCGGGATATTAAAAAAATAATAAGAACGTAAATTTACGCGTCTGATATCGACATTCAACTGCTGCAGAAGTGAACCGCAATTAACTCCGTTGCTGTAAAAAGGAGCCCATACTACG